TCAATTTGGAAAATTGAGTGTCCATTTACTCTATCTTGAAATAATTATTTTCTTTTTCATTATACACCTGTTAAATGTATTGTGTGTTAGATGTATTGTGTGATCTGTTACGTTAAATATATTGAGTTATGTCTTTACCTGCCTGCAAAGCAAATTTACCGTCTAGGAAAATAAATTAAGTGTGCTCTTGAATACTTAAGAAGAATATTCCACTATTAAATTGTCTTCACAGTTGAAGTTCAAAGATTTTTCACAAAAAATTAAATACAAGTCCAAGCGCCCCAGTTATGCTATCACTATTCTGTTTACATTTTTAAATAAATTGAAAGAACATTATAGTTGTTTAATATTTGTGTGCAAGTATAATATTGAATCAAACTGCTGTGTGCAGCATCACTCCAAATTCCTTTTTGTGCCTTTGTGCATATAAATCTGTTCTTGTGGAAGGAAGAGTGACAACTATTTTTATGATGTTTGGTTGCAGAGTTAGTAATAAAATATTTAAGGTTTATAAACTGCATGCTGAAGATTTCATTTTTTAGTACCTTCTGTTTTGAATTTTTGGTTTCTAGGTTCAGACTGGATTTGGTCGCACAGGAAGTGACATGTGGGGATTCGCTGCACATGATGTCATTCCAGACATTGTTACCCTTGCAAAGGGAATTGCGAATGGATTTCCTATGGGAGCTGTAGTCACCACACCAGGTGAGACCAAAATACTGCAGCGCGTTATTTACCACACAGGGCAGGGTGTGGAAATAATACTTTGGAAATTTGGAAATTAGTGTTTTTTTCAAATGAATAATTCAAATTAATGTTCAGAAAAGAGATAACTTTTTATTGTGCAAAAGTATAACAAGTTGCATTTTTTTGTATATTTTTCTCTTCATATATTTATATTCATGTACATTGTGGAATGATTTTAAGAACATTTTAACAAATATTTCTTCCACCATGTCATTAACTGAAACACCCATGTGATGCAGACAAGAAGAATCCAGATATACTGTAGGTAGGATATTAGAAATTAGGGATCTTAAATTTGTGCCAAGTTATTGCTATTTAACATGTACACCAGCCTGCTTTAAGTGCTCTACTCAAAGCAAATTATAATAACTCCTTGAATGTTACCCTACGCTATACTGTTATTAAACAAAATAAACAAAAAAGTAGAGGACTACAGTGACACAGAGTGTAAAGTGGAACCTTTTTGGAAGCTTGTGATGACTGAGTTACTCTTAATCCACTCAATTCATCCACAGGAGAAACTCACCTTTTATGCCCTTTATGTATCTAGGGTGAACTTTTCTTATTGGAAACATGGAAGTTCAGTAAGAGCTGAATTTATAGTGCATGTGGTGAGTTAACATAACCAGGGTGGGTGTGACATCCTGAAGTGCTTTATATAGAAGATGACCCATTTCATCTACTTCATCCACCATTGAAGCCCAGAGCCCAATTAAATGACGTTAACAGCAGCCATAATGTACCAGCAGCCCCACTTCACAGCAGACCAGGTGGAGAAGTGAGAAACTGCCTTATCAAATTCATAAATTCCAGTGTGAAATTTAGACAAGGCCCAATGCATTCTACAACTTAATTCAGTTAAAAAAGACACTTGATGCAGTTAGGACTTCAGTTTAATTTTACAGCACAGTGTCCCCATTCACCATACTGGGGTGTATGTTTGGAAATTCTGGTTTGGAGGGAAGCCTACTGGTCCTCCAACAACACATGCAGCAACAACCTGGATTTCATTGGAATTCTCCCATCCCAGTACTGACCAGACCCAGCATCGATTAGGTTTTGGGATCTGTCAAAATCAGATTATAAACTGGTAAAGCTTGTATCCAAGCAGATGAAGCCTGAATCATGTTATTAAGTCATCATTGTAGGCGTGAGCTATGTCATGGATACATATTAAAGGAGGGATTCTTATGTTAGGTGACATCTAATAATTATTTTAGAAAGCCTTTCCAGTTTAGCGGGATTAATAGTTATCTATGATTTTAGAATATCTATTGTCCTTTAAATCACATGGAATTCCTTTTCTCTGTAATAAAAATCTACAAAGGAGACAGATTCATGTATGCATATTTTACTTGTTTTTTTTTCTGTGGTATAACAGTACACTAGTTTAAAGGGATATGCTAAGGGTATGGGATTTATAAAAACATAGATTCTAAAATTAAAGCCTTTACGTTTATAAATATCCCAATCAGTTAAGATAGAAAAGCAATCAAGTTATCTGAATTGTATATAGTATGGTTATTTTATTCCTTGTATATCTGTTTAAATGAAGTGACAATAATGTAAGATAGTGAATTCTGTCAATTCAGGGCACCAGGCAGCAGGTATAAGGCAAATAGTCTGTGTTTTAAATTAAGGTACTTCAGTGTACTGAAATTTGTTTGGTTTTATTCTTCTGAATACTATCACCTTCCACTTGACGTTGGACGGCTTTGCTGTTACCATTTTGCTTTCATCTTTTGTGACATTTGTGCTGCTGGAAGCAGAGAGATGACAAAGTCCATCTACTCATCGTTAGCTGGAGGAGAAGGTCAGATGAAGCTCTGCTTCTTAGAAGCATCAAGCTGGAGGAAGATCTTAGATTTGACTAAAAAGTGACATTTTTGGATAAAAATTAAAACACGTTCTTCTCAATCCAGTAAGACACAATCTTGCCGAGAGACAAGAAGGGGAATTACTAAGCACGCTGAAAAGATTATAAGTGTTTGCCTCAAGCTGTGATGTCAGCCTTTATTAGAATTATGAGTTTTTTATTGTAATAGTACCACAGATTCTAGAAAACAGAAAACTCATGGTGATTATTACTGTGTAGCACGTGTGAGGAGGGGCCTGGTCTGCTTTCTGAACCTCCCATCATTATACTATGTCAGGCTCTGTTACTACAGAGAAAACAAATTGACTTACTGAAGGTACACCTACAAGACAGCCTGGCTTTGTAACAAGTCAAATTTTCATATCTGTTTTTCAATTAGTGCTGAGCTAAGCCTAAGGATCAGGCTCAGTGTGCCTATTCTGGGGGGGGAGCCTTTCTTCACATTGTAAAGATGTACAATTGTAGAGATCTACATTGTAGAGATGCAGAATACAGTTTCAGTGAGACATGATGCAGGAGAAGAAGGTGCTCAAAGGAAAAAAAAAACATACTTCCATTTTCTAAGCGCTTTATCCAATGGGGGACTGGAAGCCTATCCCGGTAATCATTGAGCTCAAGGCAGGGTACAATTTGGACAGGACACCAGTCCATTGCATGGCACACACATACACACTAGGGTCAGTTTCCCCAGAAACCAATTACCCTACCAGTATCTCTATGGACTGTGGGAGGCAAACAGAGCACCTGGAGCAAACCCAAGTGAACAAAGAGAGAACATACAAACTCCACACAGATAGCATCCCAGGTCCAGAATTGAGCCCAGAGCCCAAATGCTGCAAGGCAGCAATGTTAACTGCTGTACCACTGTGCCACCCTGAAAAAAAAAGCAGTAGTATCCATCATGGCTTATAATACTATGTAAAAGGGAGAAAGTAGCATAATGATTAAATTACTTGATTTTAGGAAAGCAGTGCCATAATGAAAGTATGGCCATTATATTCATATACTGTATATAGTATTGAGTTGGAATATAATTCAGATAGAATAATAACATCTCAGAAGATATAGAGCAATCATCAACTGATGTATGATTATAGCAAAAAGATAATCATGGCTTAAACATATTTATTTTTAGCTTTTTTTCTAATGGTTACCCTTTATGTTTTTTCTGTTCTTATGTATTATTTAGTTAAGTTTCAGGTGGAAAGCAGGCAAATAAACCGTGTTTAAGTATACAGCACTTTACCCTGTCTCACCAGATAATTGTTGGTACTGTAGATGTTGGGGATCTGTGCTGGTTAACTGGAAATTTGTTGAAGGCTAAACTTAATTCATTGGTTCTTTTGTTTACATTGTTTCATTTTTCACCCTCAATGTGTTTCAGAAGTTGCTCATTCGTTTGCTAAGGGGTTACATTTCAACACCTTTGGGGGAAACCCAGTTGGCTGTGCAATCGCATCTGCAGTGCTTGATGTAAGTTTTTTTTTATTTGTTTAAAAAAACCGTGAAGAATTGGATGCACAATAAACATTCCTTTCTGTTATGTCCTAGAGTGTAGAAAATCTCTGTTTAATGCTATTGCTATATTCCCCTATTTAGAGATTAAGCAGATGTCTGTAGTACCTTAAATTTTGTATGTTTTAATTTTGTATGAATTTAATTTTGCCAGCAAAACAGCAACACATCCCTCAAGCACAGAGCATTCAAGGTCCCGCATTGTTCATTGAATGCTGAAAGCTATTCAGTGATTGACATCATCCTGCACTACCATTTCATGCTGAACAGAACCCTGTTATAGCCATGAAATGTTTTTTTCAGTGTAATAGGTTGTTTTTTTATGTCACTCAGTGCTAATATTCGCTTACATCATGAGCTGCTTGTAATTCATGCTGCTTTCTAAAATTTTTATAATACAGACTATTGAAGAAGATGGTACTCAGCAAAACTGTGCAAACGTTGGGACTTATTTGCTAACAGAACTGGCCAAACTACGTGATAAATTTGAAATCATTGGTGACGTCCGTGGAAAAGGACTGCAGATTGGGGTGGAAATGGTCAAGAACAAGGTAAGTAAAGAATCATTGTATGAATCAGCCAGTTTGCCTTCCACTGTATGTGTGGCTTCAGAGTAAACTCCCCACATATGTGGTAGCTGTGATGTCGGCCAGGTGTTAAGAGCTGACATGGCATTAATTATCTCAGGAGGAGTTCAGTGCTTTAGGTAAATTTTCAACTCTCAACTCTCTGAAACAGTAAACTCGAAATTCCAGTATTACTTAACATCCCATTCCTTTCATGTTTAACTTTGTGTATCACCGGTAATAGTTCATTTTAAAGGAGAAAACTGACAGTTTCTTTTACATTGAATGGCTTTGGAAAAAATAAAAACTGTCTTTTGCTTGATTGGAAGGTAGTTAAAGCCCTTCAATCCAAACAGTGCAGGCTCACAACTGGGCTGAATCTCCAGTTAGTTGTGAGCAAGATTCCACAAGCAGCGGTGCACAATGAGTAAAGTGCCACCAGGATTGATGGGGGTTTAGTCATTCAGAGAACAAGAACAAAAGAATGAGAGGAGGCAGTTCAGCCTCTCTAGGCAGCTTTGGTAGATTGGTATGCTTAACTTGCTGTGTGATACTAAGTCCAGGGTCCTGCCAAGTGCTTGTAAACTTGCAGTGTTATTAGTGAGAGATGTACCACATACCGTACTTGCTAAATCTAATAGCTGAGGGATCCCTAGGAATTCTGCTTATTTTAATTAATGCAAATGATCATGTTTTGCCTTCCAAGATTGCTTTCAGTTATTTGCAAGGAGGCAATAAGCTTAAGACACCTCAATGTGTATTGTGAAAATATTCACTTGCAATGTTCTCCAATTTCCTCATTATAACAACTGAAAAATTAATTCACGCATATGATCTTATACATCCGATTTTTCCTTGTAGGGAAGCCGGGAACCCCTGCCTGCAGCAGAGATGAACCAGATCTTTGAAGACTGCAAAGACATGGGCCTGCTGATTGGAAAGGGGGGAGTTTATGGACAGGTAGGCTCATTTGTTTTTTTATTAGCCATTCTAGCTATTGTTTTCACATAGAGTGCATTTGTGTGCCATGGCAATTAATGAAAAAAGTACATTTTTCCTAAGGCAACTATATTAAAGGCCTTCAGAATTAGGTTTTGCACACATTTGTACTGAGATGATATAGAGCTTGCCATTCAGCTTGGCATGATCAAATCCAGTTAACACTGTCACGCCTCTACCTGTTTGTTTCTCTTCACGAATACCCCTTTTGCTGTTGCAGACTTTCCGGATTAAGCCCCCCATGTGTATTACAAAAGAAGATGCAGACTTCGCTCTATCTGTCTTCAGCCATGCAATTCAGAGCCACATGGAAAAGAAATAGTAATGTTCCAGTTTGTCCATCCAACAGAGACTTTAAAAAATAACTTCCATATAAAATGGAAGAGAACACTTGAATCATGACGCACAGCTGTCAGCTAGGTCAGAAAATATCCCCCTTTACACTTTGAATATTTCTGAAGGCCTCTCAAAGACTATTAAATATTTCAAGAGAAATGTTTTTTAAAAATACGTTTTAGGCTTTAGCTGCAAATCTCGGATATGCAGAATATTCTCAAATATATGTAAAATATTAACTAATGTGATTTAATCTAGCTGTAATTACAACAATGAAAATTAATATAGTTAAAGGATAATACTACCCTTAAAATTACCCTTTTTCGTAATAGTAATGTCGATATTAAAGTTTTTTTTTTAATTAGTCCTAAAAATGCCTGTTTTTTGAGGTCATAGATCAAAACTATTTTTAACCAACTGTTAGTTTCCTGTTAGTCATCTCAAGGGAAAATAGATGAACTCAAAGTAGTAAATTGAAGATGATAACCTCTAAATTCCATTTTAAATTATACATATTTCTTGTTGTCTGTGCAACTTGCCTTAAGAAATTAACTGAAAGGAAATTACTGAACCAGAATGCACTGTTTTCATGTCTTGCATTAACAATGAGTATCACTGTGGTTTATACAGTATATTGTCCAGAGCTTTTCCCTCAACATTTCCTAAGCCTGTTCAACATCTACCTAGTAATTCTCAGAGGATGCTACCACACAGTCATGGTTTCTAAACATGTTGCAACACGAAATTGTCAATTTCAGATTGAGGCTATATAATTAAATCTTAGAACAATGTGTTAAAGGAGATGTAATGATAGAATGTACAGTAAGTAGAGAACACTTTAATAAATTATTCTTCAATCTACAGATTGCATTTTATCTTCCAATAGTGTCTGTGATCATTGCCAACAGTCTTTTAAGACCAAACTGCATTACGTGTTCAAAGTGAAGTACTTAAGGAAACATATATTAACATTGCAGTGGGAATATTCAGCTTACTGCTGTGCTGAACTTTCATTGTACTCGCTGTTAGTCTCTACTGTTTATTTGTATATCGTGTTAATATTCTACTATGATTTGAATGTGAGTGCTGCCTTCACATCACCTTTGAACGATCACCTAACTTCACTTAACTTCGGGCATGCTCTTAAACCTGTAGGAATTTAGCAAAATTCTCCTGAATTGAAATATAATTTTGGTAAACTTAATATCCAAATATAACCGAAAGGTGTCTGCACGTTGCTAAACGTGGACTTTCACAGCATGCCGTCTGTCAATGACAAAAGTAAATAAGCATAATAAATCTACATATAGCATATGTGTACAATAAAATGTAAGTGTACCTAAAAAAATATTCGCCTGATAGTAACTGTGTGCATCTTTCAGTAGTTTTACATTTCTTGTCATTATTATACTCAGCATTGAGGTCTTCTAGTTTCTGTAGCTACTTGGTAAAACTTTTTTCTTTTAGTACAGTATGTAGGACAAAAATAACTTTTATAAAAAGGTATCTGGGTGAAAGTTCAATAGTAAATCAATATATGCCTTAACATGCTGTGATGTATTGTAAACCCTAATTGTTGCTAGCCTCAGTCTTGAGTAAAAACCTGACTGAAGAGTCCTGTGCAGTGAAACCCAGGTTTCTTTCAGTAGGAGGTCCTAAAGCATGCTCTGTTAGCTCAAGGTCAGGCTTGCTCTCCTACCAACAAACATTCTCAATTCCTGATCCCTACCTGTTCAAGGTCAGCAGGCTTCATCTTTGATTGCTGTGCACTGTCATTATCCAGAATGTGGGTCAACTGTACTAGCGTGAGGCCTTACCAGTGGCTGATCTCATCTCTGATTGATTGATTTCAGTTTACCATTTGGATCCTATTCTGCTTCTGCTGTGCACTATGAAAAATTCACCTCCTTATTAGATCGAACATTAGACTTCTATTTTACATGTTTCTTCAGTCAGTACCGGTTGTGGTAGATACTTCAAGTGTAGCTTATCAAACACCTTCAGCCTATTGAACTTTACTTGGCATTATTTCTGAACAGCTCAAAACTTGTCTAATTGAAGATGAATGGATCCAGTGGGAAGGACACAGTATGAGACACTCCCAAGAGCATTGTTTTTCTCCTCTATAGTGGTCCTACAGGTTACACTTGAGGCAACACACGTGAATGAGGGCAGTTCTAAAAAGTTAGAAATTAATACAGTCAATAATTACAAATCCCATTTCATCTTTTTAACCCCGGAAAAGAAATTTACTAATATGCCCGAAATGTAAAACTGAAATCAGTTAGCCTGTGATTAAGATCTCAGCTGGAGCAAAACCCAAGAGACAGTGATCCTTGTGGGCCAGGGCTGGGAACTACTGGCTTATGATATTAACAAAATACGCACTGGAAGTGGGCTGGTGAAGACTATAATAGATGGTCTATTCCAGGCATATATATAACACTTTGTGAACATTAATGTAAACAGAACATTGTGAGACATTCTATAAACATGTAAGCACTAATAAGGAATATGGTTAGTCAAAGTCCTTACAAGTAAAAATAGATCAAAATCTGTACCGTTTCATTAAAACATTTTCAGAGTTTTCCTTTCATGTGATTTCCTCTCTTTAGTAATAATGATCTTTTTTATTGGCAGCATAATAATTTTCTTTAAATCTTCCATGTAAAAGATCAAATTAATTAATCCTGAACATTTTAAGAAAAGATCCTTTTTGAATGATTCCAACCACTAGCTAGAGTGTGGGTTAGCCTGGTTAAACAGAGATGCAGATACACTATTTTCTATAGAGATTTCCAAAATATGAAGTTTAAACAAGATAACACTTTTTTTTTCTGAATTCAACTCTGCTTCCGTGAATTTGGCTAAATGTATTCTGCATTTTCTGTGTATATTTTGTCACGTCTCCCTTTACAATTACCTTTGACTGACTGTTTACTGGTTAAAAATGCTAAAATACTGTTAATTCTGAACCCAACTGACCTACTTTTCACTGAACATCACAGCTAGAGTGTTTTAACTCCTAGGACACTCATGAAACATTTACAAGTGCTAATTCTAGAGTCAGTGTGCATATGGTTGCACAATTATTTGCATCCATTATGAAAATATTTTCATCTGACACATCAGACAACATTCTTTTCAACAAAACAGATCAACATACATTAATCACAGGTAAGATGTTTTACATTACGGTTAATAATGTTAAACCTCTCATATTCAGCAGATAATATATACATATTGCTATATTGTGATCTACTGAAGATGCAATTGCTAGTAATTGCATTATAAAGGGAGGTATTCGTAAAATAAACACAAAATGCTATTACAACATTTGTAATGCTGTAAAAATGCATTTTTACAGCATTACAAAATGCAATCCTCACATTTTAGGACTTTTAAACTGTGTTCTTCTGTTTTTCATTATCTGGTTCTTGCCCTGTCTCATAGAATACTTGATTTGTTTACTTACAAAAGGAGTCTGAATCAAGGAAAAACACTGGAAACAAATTAAGATTCTATTATTTATAGACTAAAAAATCTTGTGTTAAACAATATTATTTCAGAACTCAAAAGGTCTCCGTAGATAACCATGCAAGTGACAGGAACCCACAGTAGAAAGCATTTTGTAATTGGTTCTGTTGTTTTACATTATTTTGACTTTAAGGGCAATACAGCAGAATAGCGGACTCTTCTTAGGATTAATAATTCAAGCCTGCAAATTCAGAATAAAAACGTCTTTGCTTACCAACATGAGCAAAGATGGCTTACAAAAACAAAAGCCCTTTACCTCTACACTCCCTTCAAACAGGCTGAGAAATATTTCATCAGGAAAGTTTTCAGTCACCATTTAAGAAGTCTCTTGTACTGTATTTTCTGAAGTACAGTATTTTCCACTTGAATATAACTTAATTTTAAATTGTTCTTTAAGTAAAGTTCAGTGTCTCCTACACTGTGAAGTCCACCAGGCTATCTGTTTTTCCGTTTCTCCTTCTTGCTCTTTCCTGATCCAGACCCACAGGGTGCAGAGAGAGAGTAGAGGGCTGTGGCGTGGCCTGTCGTCTTTAGGTGGTCAAAGAGCTTATTCCTGCTGGAGAACTCAAACTGGCAGGTGACACAGCGCAGGTTTATTTCTTTCTGCAAAAAACACGAGGGGATGGTGATGAAATATGTACCACTTTTGGAGTCTTGTTGGAAAATGTACACAGTCAGACTCTATAGTAATGAACCAGACATGATTTCCAGAGCAGTTATCTCCCACAAAAAAATTGCTTTTGAAGAATAACAAAATGATTTAACTTTAAATTTAACACAAATAAAAACAACTGACAAACTAACTTGGAATCTTCTTAAAATGTGTGGTATACAAGGAAAGCTAATACTAGCTATTATCATTGCAATCTGTAATTCCCTTGTAATATTAAAGAGCCTCTGACTATTTTAATAGTACGCGATGACTTTCGAAACGAAGGTTGAAAAGCAAACCTCCAGTGACTGATCTGTTCCTCCCAGAGGTTTGTTGCCTTTCTTCGTCTCCTTGCCCACCTTCTTCGCTTTGGCCTTTCCAGAGCTTAAAACAAACAACCAACAAGCAGAGACATTCATCAATATTGTAAAGACCTACTCTGGAAAAATATAGTCTACTGTACACCGAGACAAGAGATGGAGGATCATGCTGGGAGGAGGAAGGTCACCTTTTGGGAGCAGATGGTGCTGGATCTTCCTGTTTGAGGTCTCCGGCTGCTGTTTCAGCCTGATGGATGGCCTGTGGCTCAGAGGGGAGTGTGCTCTCTGTGTCCTCAGTCTCCAACTGCGGGGCTTCCTCATGGGCTGCCTGGCTGGATCCAAGATCTGGAGCACTTCCCTCCTCAATCGAGACTTCTGGAGGGTTCTACCCAGGCAGGCCAGAAAACAAGTTTACACAGGTGTTCTCATTTCAAAGAAGCACTAATCATGGGTTCATTAAAAATAAAAATGACATTAAATTATAAATTATACTCTGGAAAAGTACTCAGAGCTTTCACTGATTTTTTTTTTCCAGGTACAGTATATCCTTTTCTTTTACATTTCAGCAGATGTAACGTTCTTGGGAAATAATAGAAAAATAAGACTTCTTTAAAGATAACATTTAAAAGCAAGAATTAAAAGTAAAACTAATTTTATCCTAACATTTTCTATGATGGATAGATAGATGGAACTCCAGTTTGCCATGTGGGTTGTATTTTCTAGTTTTAAATCTAATTTTCTTACATTCTTATGTGGATGTTTTGTTTCATTTGCTTATGGGAACATACACCATGCTTTACTTCATATTATGGATTACTTCTTGCTAAGCAACATGCTTTCTAAAAAAATATTTCCCTGTTTTTACCAGACTGCATTAACACGTGTTTAAAAACCTCCTGTTTTCTGTACAGAATGCACCTAAACATTCTTTCCTCTTATTTCCCCTGAGTCCTTGTATTTTTACTCATCTGAAGATGACTGGGTCCGGATGATCTTTGTCAGTGAAGTTCAGGATTGTGAAACTCTGAATTGAGTATGCTATTTGTAGACAAAATGTTGAATCCCTTAGCATTGCAGCTTGGGAAAACAAACTGCTAAGCCAAAAAATGTATACATATTCACCAGTCCCTTTCAAGTAATCTTTTAAGAGCATTGTCTGTCATTATGTTTTCTTGAGTTTAACCATTTAACAGAACATTAAATTCAAAATATCAAAGGGCAGTACTGGTCATAAAATACACATCTATAAAGTAAATTGTGTAATAAATTCCCTTAAGTTTGATATATAGGAAATTTGCTCTTATTTTAGAGATCCTTTGGTGAGAAAGTCAGAGTAAGAGTGGGATAGAGTTTGCAATCGTGTTCCATTTTTTTCTGCATTTGGAAAAATTAAGATTGCTTCACACAATAATTAAAAATAATTAAAATATTGTCAGCCAAAGGTATCATTTAATCTAGCTCAAATAAATTATGTAATAATCATGTATGCTATTGTCAAAAGAAGTGCTGAAAGTATGTTTATATACAAGGTGTAAACACACTAGACAAAACAACTTACTGGACTAAGTTTTTGTTGCCTTTTTTTCTTCTTCTGTTTTTTAGAAGGTCTGCAAAATAAAAAATAGTTTAAGTGAGCAGGTCAGCTTTTGTAACAATATCATGATACTGTTTACACGCTGATGATAAAGTAGCTCAGGTGATTAATTACTCCCAAACAGGAAACAACATTAAATGGTATCAATACTGAGTATATATGACAGATCACAGCATTAATTTGAGTAAGCACCTGTTAACAGAGGTGGTTTTTCTATACTTCTGGATTTTATTAAACTTTAACAAACATTTCCACTTAAAAATCTATTTTTTTCCACTTTTACTATGGAAGTCCAAGAAATTTGTTACCATCAGGTGTTAATGTGAAAACTGCATATCAAAGTGGAAAACACTTTTTTGTAATCAAAACAAAGTTTATGAAAGTGATTCTATATACTATATATATACTATATAGGGATAGTATATAGAATCACTTATGAAAGTGATTCTATATACTATCCCTTTAAATCTTATAAGCACAGTTTTTCAAAGATAGATTTGTGGAAAAAGCATTATTACAAAGTGTTTCACAACAAATAAAGAGAGTGGACTTTTTTGCATTTTTTAAATGAACCAATCCCTCCTGAGAATTTAAAATATGTTTTTCAAGAACACACTGCTAATGTAACAGATTAAAAGTGGATTTGTTTTTCCAAAGTGTTTTTCTAAATATACCCTGCTGTTTCCCTAGAAATCAGTCATTTTTAATTTGAGCCATATACTCTTGAGTAAAGGATTTACTTTAATGCACAAATGTAACAATATGAATTTTGGAAGGAGGAGGATAAATGCCAAAATGTCAGAAATTCATTTTAGAAATAAGATTATGGGGGCTCCCAGGTGACCCAATGCAAGTTAAGCTCCATGTTCCAGGAACTGCAGGATCAGTCCTGGAATCTGGATGCTGTCACTATGTGACTATGACTGGGATTCCTTTAGCAGTTCACATAATTGATCGAATGCCACTGAGAGCAAAATCGGAAAGGGCTGTCTTGGGCTCTGTGACACACCGATTCCTGTGGCTTCTAGGGAGCTTAATGTGCTCTAGAAGGGACGTGCTTCTCCTCTAATCGGCACTGAACCTCCTACACTGGGCTGTGAATTCAGCAGCATGTTTAAGGACTGGTTTGAAAGTGGGCAAGTTAGAGTTATAAACTTCTAAACTTCCCCATTTTCTCCCGTGTGCAGTTGCAGGTTCGTTACCATTAGCTGAGATGTAAAAACAAACTTTAAAAATCGGGCAGCTACCAAAAAATAATTGGAGATTTTAAATTAAAAATAGAAATAGGATAATAATTTTTTATTAACTTTTGTTTTGGATTATCATTCAGGTCTTCCTCGTTTTCCTCCTTGGCATTCTCCCCACTGTCTTCAGAATCCTGATTAAGTACAAGATCCTCCTCTTCCAGTTGTTGCCGTAGTAATATGACCATCTCTCTGTGCTTCTTTGATTTCTCGTGGTTTTTCATGCTGTGAATGAAAAAAATCATTTCATCTTAATAGCAACCCTATTTTAAGTGGAGATTACAAGGCAAGAGGGAAACATTTAATTTACTTATCTTCAGGGAAAATGAATACTGGCAATGCCGATTGCTATCCAACATTACAACTAATAGCTTACTTACGCTTTGTCAGTTTTGAAGGACTTGTTACAGGCTGGACAGTAAAGGCTATCAAAATAGTCAGCCAGCTCATCCGCTCCATCTGTGAGTGTATCTGGAATTCAGTAATGCACATAGAAAGATATCTTCACATCACATTAACTCTTTCAGCTCTTGTGGCCTAGTCCGAAATGAAAGACAAGCTCTGCATTGCAGGGGGACCTTTGGTGGTATTTTGGCAAGTTGCAATTACCGTTAGAATAATTATATTTACTGAATTATCCAAAATGACCAGCAAATCTGCAATACATTGCCCAGCCTAGACATGATGCCAGAAAACTAATTCAGTGTTAAAGATAACTAAAATATAATGAAAGGCTTGCTCTGGTATTGTGCACTCTGGTAGCACAACACAAAAAGGTGCAAAGGGAACAGATTATTGGCACTGAATAATTTAGAAATAACAACTAATAGTACAGAGGAGAGAATACATTGTTCACTTTTCCAAGCTCAGACTCTAAACGTATTAGGTCCATTGAGTTTATTAAGATAACTCAACCCACACAAAAGTAGTTAGTGGTCTTTCGATAAAGCACTTTTAATCCATGGTGACCAGTACAAATTAAGACTTAATTCTTGCATAAGTAAGATAATCATATCATAGTTCCTACTTTTGTTTTTTTTTTACTAATACTACGAGTACTTGCTTCAGTTGTTTAAACTTGGAAGGCACATTAACATTTCTCAGAAATCAAACAGCAACTACTAGTGAATACCGAGTAATTGCGTTTCGTTTTACTCTTGTACCTGCTACCCTAACCTAACCCAAGCTCAGTGTTTCAACTGCCTGCTTGTTAAGTGCTGGGCTAGGTGCTGGTCTTGTGCGTGTACTGACCCCCGGGTTCCTCTCCTCCCTCTGGCACCTCTGCCTCCTCCTCTTCGCTCTCAGAGCCATCGCCAAACTCCTTCTCATACTGAGCTTCCATCTGCTGCAGCTCCTTCTCCAGCTCCGACATGGCTGCCCAGCTCTGCTCCTTGTAGTTCTCAGCCAGCCTGGGAGCACACAAGACATTTTATTCGGCTGTTTAGAACTGACCAAAATCCATTGTTTTGTAATTGGGAATTTGATATTGCCAATTGTAGAATCTAGATGCTCTAGAATATCTAGAATTGTACTAAAACAGAAAAAAAAACTTGTAACCTTTACATTGTCCATGAACACACCCAGAAATTAGGAGAAGAGGTACTCCTTGTCCATTAGAAAGGACCAAAAGAGGATTCAGTTTTTCATGTTATCTAGCCTCTGAATTTCCTAAATAAGCTAATTTGCCTTTTAACTGGAACAATTTCACTCTTGTCTGAGGTCAAAACCAGAACGGAATTTACAGAAAGACCTTCAGACATAGAAATCTCTGTAAGTACAGCCCCTCAAAACAAAAAGCCTAGATGACAGTGAGATTTGATATTTCTGTACAGCTCATTGTTCCTCCATCAGGCCTCACTGTTATTTATTTTATTACTATTGTGCTTTAGAAATGGTTTGCGAATGTATTGAGTGGATGCTATTATTGGCTTTAGGTTATCGGCTTATGTTGCATAGTTTGTCTTTAATTGTAATCGACAAAACCAAATTCCATGCAATTAGTTGTTATGACAATTGAATATTGAACTTGAACATGATGAACAGGTGATTGATCATTAAACAACAGGATGACACCAAAGTCTTCTGAGCACTGCATGCAAATACCTGCTCACACACGATCTTATACAGCTAATGGGCCGGCTTCACTGTGAAATAGTGCTGGGTGATAATTCGATAACGATAATTATCGCGATATATTTTTCCTCTATATAATTTTAACAAAAGTTTGATACATTTTCAATATATATGTTTATGCTTTGGGCATGATATGTGCATGCGCACAAAATACTGCGCGAGTGTGCGTGCGTGTTGCTAACGTGGTGGTGTTTACCCACATGGTGTGGCTGACAGGATTGTAGTTAGAGTGGAGAAATGAGCGACACTGAAGCAAATGTAGTGCTGCCAACGACCAGAAAAGGTCATTCAACTTCGGTAATTTGGAGATGTTTTGGCTTTTTACGATCAGACATAAAACAGAGCACTTTAAACTTTGCAGTCTGTCTGAGCCATCTTCTATGTGTGTTTTATCACACTGCAGTATTTAATTTTTCTATTAAGATATTTATTTTGTAAATTTTACTCATGCATATTTTGACATAAAAAGACTTGAATATTCTCTACCTCCGATTTGTTTAATGTTTCTGCAGTTTGGCAAGTGTTTGTTGTGTTCTTAAAATAAAGAGTTGTTTAATTTACCAATTAACTGTCTGGTTTCTTCAACTTTCACTCAGGAGAAAAAAATCTGCCTGTAAACTTGGCATCTATCGTGATAATTATCGATATCGACTGATATGAAATTTTTATTGTGATAATGTTTTTGGCCATATCGCCCAGCCCTACTGTGAAACACTGTGCAATCCTTTGTAACAAAATTCTCAAAATGTTTTCATTCAACTGATAAAATGGAAAACAGGGGTCATGGGCTAAAAGCAGCGATTGCTCAATAGTACTTTAACTCCCATGGTTATGAAAGGCTGGTCCCTGTGGTGCTTCAGTATTGATGAACAATGCTAGTGATAAGTTCTAAAAGAAAAGCCAAGGCTCTGCTGCCCTTCCACAGATGTTAGTGCTGCCTCCGTCAACATGAAAGGAGCACCACTCACTTTGCTTGGCTGAGTTTCTGTCTGCGCCGGAGCTCCTCCACCTTCTTGGCTTTCTCCGCGTTCTGCTCCTCCACCATTTTCTTGTGAGCCTGCACCCGTCGGTCTCGCTTCCGCAGGAAAGCCACCAGCTGCCTGACGAGCTCGCTGCGCTCCTTCCGCGCCTTGTCCCGTAGCTTCTTGTTCTCCTTCTCCATCGCCCGCTTCTCCCAGCGGTTGGAGGCCTGACGCGTGTCGTACTCCTCCTTCCAGGCAAAGTTCTTCCAGGTGCAGAAGCTCTGCCAGTAGCCGTAAAACTGGTGCACGACCTGCAACATAAAGACGTTTTTAGAGGCTTTGACAACATCAGCAAACAGCTGTCCTGAACCTCTTTCAGTTGAAGCAAATCCTGGCTTCCTACATTCAAGGCTCAGAGATAATACTGGCAACGTAAGGGTTTTGTTTTTACTGCACAACAGTTTTAAATCAATAAGCTGTATATCAGAGTACTGAGTATTAGTATCAGAGCACTAATCCTGGATCACCTACAGGGCGGAGCAGTGGCTCTGTGGCTAAGGATCTGCGCCTATGGCTGGAAGGTTGCTGGTTCAAATCCCACGGCCGGCAGAATAATTCTACTCCGTTGGGCCCCTGAGCAAGGCCCTTAACCCCAACTGCTACAGGGGCGCTGTACAATGGCTGACCCTGCGCTCTGACCCCAAGCTTCTCTCTCTTCCTGTGTGTCTGTGTCTCATGGAGAGCAAGCTGGGGAATGCGAAAAGATGAATTCGTAATGCAAGAAATTTCATAGGGCTAATAAAGTGATCTTATCTTATCTACTGTACAGCCATGAAAAGACTTCAGTGCATAAATACAAGTGAACTCCTTAGATCAAACATGCACCAGATCTAGATTCAGATACTTTTTTAAGCTCAAATATTCAGATATTTGCAAGCTCCCATTTGCAAATTTTTCATAAACACACATCTAGCATTTTTCCTTCTTTACCACAATCCCCATGATAGAAATATCACAACCCCATCTAAATTTGTTTCACTTCTTGTTTGCTATACTTCAGAAAGTACTGTGATGAGAATCATGTTGCCCTTTAACCTTTTTTTCCGTAGCAATAAATGCATATTAAAGACTTTTTGAAGGCAATCTTAAAAACTTGAATTTATAAATAATTTACGTGCCCAGCTGCTGGAGGGGGTTGTGCTGTGCGTTTCAGTCTTGCCCTCATAGGCTGCTTCAACAAGCTTCACAGGCCTAATTGCACTGAGCTTTGCAGCAGAACTAAACCAGCCTATTTTAGTTTCTCTGGGCACAAGACCTAAATATATTAATCATTTACTTAATTTAGGAAAAGGCTCAAGTACTGCAGAAGGTTTTCTGAGGCACTTACCCTCTTTAAGCCACCAGCAGCCTAAAAACCATGGGGAATGGCTATATGACAGCCAATGCATTCTGACTTTATTTAGATTATTTTTTGTTTTCTCCCTCCAAACATACATTGTTGACGCTTTAAAGAGGCACATCAGCTAAAAGCAACTTGGAGTGAGAGACACTGAATGGTCTTTTGTTTGTAAACGTATGCATTATGATATATGGTAATTTAATTATTTTCATTGCAATAAGGGTGTAAGAGTTTCCATCTGTCAAAGTTACCTGTAAGCCATAAGCAATAATGCAACATGAGTCTTCTATCCATCCTAGACTTATTATTTCAAAAACATGTTTGATAAAGAAGAAGGGTGGTTTCGTACCGTATCATAGTCACTTTGTGAGTCTCCAAATGTTGGGAACTCGCCTTCTTCCTCCTCTTTGCTGTATTCCATTTCTTCCTTCGCAATGGATTCAAACAGTTTCCTATAGACAGTATAAAAACCCTGGAGAAAAAACAAGGAGATAAAAATTCCTTGAAATTTTTAGAACTGCATCGATCCATAAAACCTGTACAACACCACTTCATTGAGAACACACTGCTACTGTAAGCATCCACAAATGTAAGCCTTGATCACCCAAAGAAGCAGCAGAGATATTCTCTTGAGTTTTCAAAACATCAAGCAAACCGTCAAAATTACTACCTAGTACAAAAATTTAATCACCCTCTTTGAGTGACATTTTTAAATACAAGTTTTGAACATGTGTTTTATAAAATCTGTAACACTTAACATGCAGAGTTGCAGTTTTTTTTACTTTTTCAAAAGAGACATTTCACTCAAATTACAGAAGGTACTACGCTTTGATTACAACCAGCATGATAACTGTGAGATTTCAGTTCTAAAGGTTAGAAATAACTATTTTCATCTGTCAGCTTTCCAGACCCTTTACAAAGTCATGTGTAATTGAGGATCCTTGCTGCCACCTAGACATGATGGAAGAAAGATGCTTCTCTTGCAAAAGTACGTCTTTGTTCCCATCTTAAATCTTAAGTCACATTTTGTTTTCACCGGAAACCATAACTAAAACATCAACTGGCACTCTGCATTTTTTACGCAGAAATAACTAATTAAGAATAAACTGTATGTGAAAAGACCTAGATGAAGAAACTAAGAAGCAAGCAGAAAGTTCTAGGTACAAAAGGTGCTTGTATTCAAACAGAATAATGATGGATTCAAAGATCATAGTAAAAATCCTGTTCTGACTAAAGTGGAAAACATCAATGGGATTCCAAGAACAACTGCGTCATAAACCTGTTGAACTCTTTATTCCACCATGACACAACAGCTTTTAGTTTCTATGGTTTTATAATTGCAATAAACACCATTATGTGATGTTAGCCTCTATATGTGAAGGACAGTTTAATAGGACATTAAAACTGTTTCTTCACATCCCAGAAGGAATGTCAGTCAGTTTAAAACAACACATCATATTGGAGACCAGTTTCAAAACACTTAATATCAGCAGCTAACTCTACAATACTTATCAAGTGATAACTTATATGACTACATATTCTCTGACATTTTCATGATGTAACAACAGGGATTAGTGCATTCACTCATACTCCATTTTCACTTAGAACTTTAGCTTTAAATATTTCATTTTTCCTGGTCAAAATTGACTGTGAGTGTGACTTCCTGACTCAATTTGCACCAGAACTAGAAGTTGTTGGTGGGGTGACTCTTATGTCGTCTAAATTTGTAGCTCAAGTGGTTAGCAATCCTTTCATTATATTTCAGAAGGGGGTGCTCACCTATTGGTGTCTCCCTATCACCACTATTGAAAGTAGCCTCTGTCAAGTCTGCCCCCAACTTAAGCTGGACAGACCTCACTTAAGAGTGTCTTGGTGGTTTCTTATCAGAGATAAGTCAGCTGGCTATGGATATACTGCAAGATTAGACGACAGATGAATCAAGTGTACACGGTTCTGAGAGTGTGACCTACAGGGAGACTCAATACACGGAAAGTGAAAATGGGTAAATTGAGTAACGCTGTGTCTCAGATTTGTCACCAGTACTAGGATTGTACTTTCTTTGTATCCTTTCCCAGGACCTTGACTTTCAGTTGCTCTCCATTAACTATTGCACTTACCCAAGCTTACAAGTGGTCTTTTTGTCTTTCCATTACTCTGTTTACACTACTTAAGAACAGTGTGTACACTGCTTTGTACAGATTGTCTTTATTTGCATGTGTACATTTTGTATTTTTAACAGTTTCTTCATTCTCATTTGCAAATATTTTCTATCCGTCAGGTGTCTTTTGTCCCTGCAATAATTCCTACTTGACAGCTTGCACACACATGGCAAAAAATAGACTTTAATAGGGTTTGAGCTGTACTTTTGTGGTCGGATTACACTTGCTTACATGGCGTTTTCACAACAGATGGATGTTCCCCTGATTAAGGGTGTCTTCCGTGCAAATAATTACAGTAAACTAGCCAACTCGCAAGTTGAGAAGCTGTTACTACATGGAAACTTGCCTTAAAGTACTTAGAAGAGGCTTCAGACAAAAAAACAGCTGCCAACTAGTACTGCCTTGTAATTTGTGATTAGCAGGATGGGGAAAGTTTTTTATTTAATTTTCTTTATTCCATCACTCCTCTAAATTTCATTATGTAACAACGACGGCATACTTACGACCTACCACCTTCCCATGTGTGCTATAAGACAGGTGTTAAATAAAATACAGACCGGGCTTGAGGCTCAACCTACCTTCTCGTCATCACCATAGCCGGAATAGCAGGTAACGGTGAAATACTGAAGCAGATCGATGCTGTCGTCCTCGAACTCTCCACTCACTCCCCCCTTCAGCAGCGCCTCCCGGTGGTTATCATACCTACACGAGGAGTCGCGTGACAGGAGCAGTTTACATACTATTTTTTAGGCATTTGTTGAACTTTAATTCTGACCACTATAGACAAAATGCAGGTAGTTTCTTCGGCTGTTCCAATCCATCACCTTTGGGCAATGTTTATAGTCAAAATATTTTCAATTATTCATTTCCAAAATAATTCATCATTCTAGGAGAGATGAAGACCACATGCGCTTATTCCCCCGCAGAGATGCCCAGTCCCCATCTCCTCTCTGCCATAAACAATAAGCCCAGCTTACTGAGCTGAAGAGAGCAACTGGTGTGTATAAAGGGAAAAGATGGAAGGATGTTCGTGATGAAGGGACACTCACCAGGCTCTTTCCTGTGGGTCACTTAATACATCATAAGCGGCCTGGATCAGTTTGAAATGTTCAGCTGCTTCTTCCGCATTCTCCAAGTTCTTATCTGCCAGGACACAGAGAGGCATGGATGCCCAACATTGTTCACTTTAATCTGAGGCCCAAGTGCCTCTGTAGACCAGGGTTTCCTGATCCTGGTTCTGTAGGTCCATACATCTGCTGGTCCTCTTTCCAGCCAATCTATATTACCTAACTGAAGCCTTAGTTGAGCCAACAAGATGCTTGTTTGGAACATTTTGGTGTGCGGTTCTCCAGAACCAGGTTGGTGAACCCCTGCCCTAGACAATGCTGTATAAACCTGATTTGGTGGGCAACTGTGAAATGCATTGCCACCAGTACCTTAGCTAACAAACCATCTGACCAACACAAACAACAGTGCTTCAAATGTATTTATTACAAATTCTCTTACAAATAGACCACTTGGAATAATACTACATAAATTCCTACTTTCAATTTACTAATCGTGATATTTGGGTGTTAAAGCTGCACTAAGAACTGCAGGTGATAATGAGTCATTCAATGACTAATCAATATTTTTAAGTAATCTTAACCAAAGAACATATCCTGGTTGTGTGTAAACTCCAGAATTTAAACTGGAGCCCAACAGCAAACTTAGTTGATCATACAGGGTCACAGATGTCCCATCAACTAACAACATGACACAACTGCTCTACCATTAAAGTGAATCAAATGAAAATTAAATTATTCAGCTGATGCATGTACCCAAAGCAAGTTATATTTGTACAGCTGGGCGATTTACTGGAGTGATTAGAGTAAAGAATCTTTCTCAAGAGTACAACAGCAGTGTCCAAAATGGCACCTACAACTTTCTGTCTGCAAGTTTAGATCCTTAACCAGTACTCTACACTGCTTCCTGAATTTAACAGTAAAACGGTGTGCTGACCTAAAAATAAAACTGAACTGTGATCCTTGTCCCAAGAAATGTAAATGAACACAGACTGCAGCAGAACTAATGTTCAAACCCACATCTTCTTAAACAGTTGACCCCAGAAAACCGCCAGGTGGAGCTGATGTGCCACTGACAAAGTCAAAGTTGGGCTTTCAACAATCACACTTGCTCAGATCAAGAGCTTGGCTGCCAGACACTTATAAAGCTGAACAAATCGGAGCATCTGGACAAACAACAACAATACTAGAGGACGCGTCAGTCTTACAGCCCTACTCTCATGTAGTAGTGCAAATGAAGCGCTGAGACCAAAGATCAAACAGTTTATAGTTCAACTATTCAGGGTTTATCCTTATTGAATGGTCACCGAAAAGGGAATTCCTTTCATTCAAAACATATTTTAAAAAATAAAAATATGTAACTTTCTTTATGGAAAGGATGAAACCGTAAACAAATGAGCAAGTCTCCTCATTTTAAGTGCTGAATGTTCCTGTTTACTTAACAAAGCAGTCATGTAGGCCTAACTGGCTGTACTGGCAAGTAGGTTTTCCAAAGCAATTCGACAGGGAATTGTATTTCTGGAAAAAAATAATTCGTTAAAATGTTACTTATGATACATCAGTCACACAGGGTCTCACATTAACACCAACAGCCGAACAAACCGAACCCGAGTACGATAATGCAGCATTAGTTACGCTAAAGACTCGTACATAATCATGTTTGAACAACAGAATTACGTCTTTTAAAAGGAACGCTAAATGTCACAGTCCAGTTCACGTATGTTGAAATGAAGTACCTGGATGCCATTTCAAAGCTAGTTTGCGATAGGCCTTTTTCAAATCATCGTCCGTAGCATCTCTTCGGACACCCAAAACTTCATAATGGCACTTCATCTTTGAAAAGGTTAGTGGGAGTAGAGAATCGAAGATGCTTTAATTATTTTCCGATTTTGTAAAGACTCAAAAATTGTATGAGCTATGATCCATATATTAACCGAAGATTTGTCGATTAGATTTCATTTTCTCCCTTCGGGTACTCGGAAGGGCAGTTCGTGAACTTCACTCCAAATTTGTTTTCCTTCGACGTCGCTTTATTAGTGTTGTTTTTTTCCTGCTTGTGTTCACAAAAACTAACTTAACCATTTAGCCATCCTCCCAGTAATTATCTCAAGGATCTGTTTCCCTTTGGTTCTTTATAATGATCATTTGATCACTATTCTCACGCTTGCACACTTCAGCAATGTGGCTTCTACATTGCCGGCTTGCGCTTTTAGTGACGTCATTTTTGTGCGCATCAATATTACCGTAAACAAGAAATATAGGTACCGTACACTTTTTTTTAAAACCGTTGCTTTATACTTAACATTGCTGGATACAATTTGAACAATCTCAATTACCCCGTTTGCACATCTAAAGATAAAAAAATTGTACAAAAAATACCTTTTCCTTTAATCACTGATACAGGTGACTAAAAGTCAACCTCTGTATTTTATCATTCAATTCTAAAGACGTAACTAAGACAAATAGAAAACACAAATTACCACAATTATTTCCTTCTATTTCAATTCAGTGGTTGAAAAACTGGTTACATGGGCATTATTTGAAATTTTATTACTAAAAAATGGGCCAGGGACGAGCAACTACAGTCCTCTAAGGCCCGAGGGTTTTGTTATTCATTATAACTCTGATTTAGTTGCTTATGTGAAAGTATGTAGTGATATAACAAAGAAATAAGAACAAAGAAGTGATATATGTCTTCTAATATTTAGTTAATTCAGAACTGTTCCTAAAATGCACATTCTTTATTAAAAACGTTTGTGACTACTTTAAATACCACACATACCCAGAGAAGCAGAACAGACTTGCTTATACATTATTGGACATAATTATTGTTTAAACCCCTAAAGACTTGTTTAAGCAATCTCCAAGAGTAAGACATTTTCCAAAAGTTTTTTTTTAATACATTACATTTCTCTATGGCTCTTGGCAACAGTAAATTTGCATTCTACAATCTGGATAGTTCAAATAGCACATACTGTATATCTACTTTCATTTTAGTGTGGACTGATAATATGCAGTCCACTACAGCTGTCCTTAAACTTTAACACTTCAGAATTTAGACTGAGCCACTAGAATTATAGGACAACTTATATTTACTTGATAAAGGACTGAAATTAGTAAACTCGAAATTGGAACAATCCCATTTTTAATGGTAACCTTAGAGAAAGCTTCACCTGCAGATACAATACCTGTGTCATGAACAGGAGAATTGAATGACTAATAGGTAGCATATACTGTAGCTCTCCAATGGGACATTGACAGAAATCAGCAGGAAAGGCACGACACACACCACTGAAAACGTAAACAAAGTGATTATCCATTTCCAGAGAAACCACACACCAGTAAATGTATATTCAGGATCCCAAAATGAAAGGAAAGGACGTTTCATGCTGTAAATGCATGTGAATCAAAGCTCCGTATGATACCCAAGTTCACAGCTGTGGAAAACACCTGCAGACTGGCACAGTAGCCCCCATGTTATCTCAACAGTACTGTTCATAACTGACATAACAGGTATAACAAGGCTCAGTTCACTGAGTGAGTTCCATAAATAATGTCCATGCCCTCTGAAATCTAAACAGTGTAAAACGTCCTTGACGGAGGACCTGGTTTTTTGGGTACAGTTAGTAACCAGGATCAAATGCCACCAGAGGCAGCAAGACCTAGACCTGTCACACACAGTATAAAAAAGGAAACTACACATTGCCAATCACATTGAAAGTAAGAACTGGACATTCCTTCTGTATCAGGGCTGGGTAATAATTCTGCAGTGTAGGACTGCTCATCTCATTCATATATTGTGAAAACAAATTTGGCTATCCCTGGTGATGCTGCACATTTGGTGGTGGTGGAGAGGAGTCCCTATTACCTGTAAAGCACTTTGAGTGGAGTGTCCAGAAAAAGCGCTATATAACTTATATTATAAGTGTAAGCAATTATTAACTGTGTTATCCTTCCTTTTGCAGTTTGTAAAATCACTGATACATCCCAGTTGAATTAATGTTCTGTTCTTTCAGTATTTCAGCTAGTCAGACTATTCTTTATTATTAGTTATGTTTTAATTGTGAGTCTTTATAAAGAGTTATTCCTTGAATAGGGATTTCCTCAGCTGGGAAACTGCTGCTATAACACCACAAATCTATTTCCTCCCCTATGTTGCCACTGCTATGTAGCTGAATGTCTATTTCCATAAAAATGTATGATACACAAAATACTTTTAAAAAGGTATGACTAAATTGTTCTAAGTTCTTTTGCATAACATGAAAATGCTTTCAGGGTATGTTAACCCTCACCATTTCTTTTTTAATGATGCTATGAAGCAATCCACAATGTCATGGATTAGATTTTAAAAACTTCAGATAACCACAATCTTTAAAAAAATACTCCTCTGTAAACTGTCAACACTTCAACTGAAGTAAATACACAGCAATTTATAGCAAAAGACAAATCTTATAAAAAGTAATATGTAAATACATAATATATTTAGTGCAAACCTCAATAAGGATTACAATCTGCACAATTTGCCCTTTTACTAAAAAGCACCCACATTTAAAGAGTTGAGCTGCAAAAACCCCAAAATCTTTTAGCTCTCCGAATGAGGCATCAGCAGGGCCTCTGGCAGTAGACGATTAATTGTAACCTAAAATAACCAAAAATAATAATACAGAGTAAGTGAGGCAGAATCAGACCTTTTCTTACTATAATTTCTAAGTTACTGGTGTTGAAATGACGTGTTGTGTATGACTAGGTAAAATTGCATTAACAGTCTGGCCTTTTACAATCTTAAGATTTACACTGTGGCATTTATACATAAAATACAGTGGGTATAGAAAGTCACCACCAACTTTCAAACTTTGTACCTTCTGTTGTATGACACTGAAAATAAAAAAATAAATTAGACTTGTTCCATTTTTATTTACACACAGCAATCCACATTAGCCAAGTGAAAATAAATGTCTAAAACTTTCTGAAAATTAATATTACAACAGTAAAATACCTTATTTGGATAAATAAAGACCCCCCTTACAATTGCATTTGCAAACTTGCTCACGTATAACCAATCACTTTACAGATCACTCGACAAACTGGCCCAGACCTGTGATCACTTGTGGTGATTTTGATTAGTTCAGAATAGAAGCAGCTGTTTCTAGAGGATTCCACTGCTTGGAAGTGCATTTCAAAGCAAAGAATCCACTATGGGCAGAAAGGTGCTTTCAAAAAACTTTGAGATAAAGTTGTGGAAAGGCACAAGTCAGGAGATGTGTATAAAAAGATTTCAAAGGCTTTAAGTATCCCATGGAGCACAGTCAAGACCATCATTAAGAAGTGGAAGAGGTATGGCACCACCTAGACCTTGCCCAGATCTGGCCGTCCCTCCAAACTGAATGACCGAGCAAGGAGACTGACAGAGAGGCTACAAAGAGACCGATGGCAAAGACTGGTTATAGTGTGCATGTGACAACAGTATCACAAGCACTCCACAAATCTGGCCTGTATGGGAGGGTGGCAAGAAAAAAAAGAACACGTCTAGTTTACGTTGTGCTAAAAAGCACCTTAAAGATTCTGTGGCCAAATGGCAAAAGGTGCCGTGGTCAGATTAGAACAAAATTGAACGTTTTGGCTGGAATGCAATAATGGTAAATCTGGCGAAAACCCAATACATCTTACCATCCAAAGAATACCATTCCTACAGTAAAGCATGGTAGTGGCAGCATCCTGTTGTGGGGGTGCTTCTCTCCAGCTGGGACTGGGGTACTTTTGAGGATAGAAGGGAAGATGGATGGTGCAAAATACAGGCAAATTCTTGAAGAAAACCTGTAGCCCTCAGCCAGGAAGTTGAAAATGGGAAGATGGCTCACCTTTCAACATGACAATGACCCAAAGCACACCGCCAAAGCAACCGTTCAGTGGCTGAAGGACAGGAAGGTGAGTGGCTTAGTCAGAGCCCCGACCTAAATCATATAAAAAAATCTTTGGAATGACTTGAAGAGGGCAGTCCATCAACGTTTACCAAGCAGTTTGACTGAGCTTGAACAATTCTGTATGGAGGAATGGGCCAATATTCCTCCCTCTAGGTGTACAAAGTTGGTAGAGATGTATGTAAACAGACTCAAGGCTGCAATTCACGCAAGGGTGTTCTCTTATGCAACCCAGTTATTCTACTTTTATTGTAGCTTTTTTTCACTTGGATGTTGCAAGGTAAACATTTGAAATAAAACTGGAAAAATCCGATTTTATTTATCTTCTTCTTGGGCTTTAGGGCAACAAAGGGTGAACATTTTGATATACCCACTGTATATTGAAAGAAGGACATACATTACACTTTGAAAGACAAACTTGGACATCAGTGTTTAACTGTTTACTAGATGCAACTGAACAGTACTGCCAATTTCAAAGAGCTACACTGAGAGAAACAGGTGGACAAAGGTTTATCAGCTCTCAAATCTGTACTGCTTTAAAGTCTCTGTTTCTTTAACATTCTCTGCCGTTTAAATTCCTTTTTCTTCTTCTTCACCAGTTTGGGCTCTGGAGGCATCAACTGTACGTCGGAAGGCTTCTCTTCCGCAGGAGTCACAAACACATCATCTGTGGGATCCTGGGGCAGGGGCTCCTTCTCCTCAATCCTCTTCATCTTCTGGAGCTCCTTCACCTTCTGCTTGTCCTTCAGCCTGGAGGCTGTGGCGAGACGGATCATTCTCCGATGCTGAGGGGAAAAGGAATGTATTTAAGAAGTCAGACTGAATATTATTCTCCGATAACATCTGCATAAAAACACAAATAAATAGGGATTCCTGTTCTCATCATTTCTTTTCTAAGAGCATACCTAAAGAGCATCTTTCTCTATTCTAAGAGAAACATACTCAATGCATCCTGATTTTTAGTATACATTCTGTAAGTTAATAGAATTTTAAATCTTGTGTTTTTGATTTGTTGATAGTTTACACAGCTGTTTTGTTCTAAAATATTAGAAAAACTGTAACAATACACAAATATACAGGGGTTGGGTCTGTTTTGTGTTCCAGTTGCACATCAGGGAAAGCTATCATCAGTTTGATGAAGACTTAGGAGCAACTAACCTTGCTTTGGAATTTTACAGATTTTTGATCATTCAATTAACAAATTAAAGATTTCACAAGACTGCAGGAATGTCATGTGAAAAAAAACTAGACTCATGTAAAAAAAGAATAATGCAGTAGGTTTAATACCTATAAAGCATGCAAATCTACAGACCAAGATTTAGTAACAGACAGAATCAATTCTAAAATTACTTCTTGATTTTGATGATTGCTTTTCAGAAATTATTCCATATGACCTTACTAAATTCAGAGTATATAAAGAACATACCATATTTGGGGACTGGAAATGGGGATTTGCATAGAGAGTTGGACCACCAAAGCTTCCCTGGAAAATTTTGATGAGGTTCAGCACAAAGCGTGGCCCGATTTCCACCAGAGAAGCATCCTCTTCGATGATCTGTAAAATTAAAAATTACACAAATAACTATGATGAAGTATGTCCCAGGGATCGTGTATCTACTGTACATGCTTCTTAAAAATTCCTAATGTTCCTTGGCCTCACACATATTCAGATGTTTCTTAGCTTAGAATAATTGGTGAAATCCAGAAATTGTTTAATGACACAATATCTGCTCCCTATAGACAAAGTTTCTACAATTTTCTTCGCACTATAATGTTGTGTAGTGAGCAAGCCAAACATAATTGTAAATTAAAAGATCTACTCTCCACATAAAATCTTTCTATGGTCATTACAGTAATACATGTGCAGCAATTTGTATAATTTGCAGGTACAGTACTTTTCCTGTATTGCAGGATGTCATTCTGTCTTCTGCCAAAAGACTGTACAATGCATCCACTTTGTGTCTGGGCAGGTGCAACATTGTCATTGACCTGTTTCTGGACTAAACAGTAAACTCTCTGCTACATCTGGCTTTCCCATTTACAACCGTTTTTTGTGCAATATATGCCAGGGACTTGTGCAATTCAACTTTTTCTGTATTGTTCTGGTTTGTTTTTTGTATGTTCTGGACTGTGAGTAACTTTTCTTAGTGCACTTCTCACTGATTGTACTGTATGTATTGTATTATTATGTTACACTGTGGCTGTGTTGACTGTGTTAAGCTGTTGTTGCACTGCAATTTCCCTCACAGGATCAATAAAGTATCTATTTTTCTGTGTTCATTTAAATAAATATTAATAGTGACATTGTCTGGATCATGTCCTCATTGATTTTCTGTGAAGGTAACATAACTTGGCTTTGATCACAAAGTAGTGGGTTTCTAGAAAGTAAAACAGAATTTTTTTTCTAAGATGCACTTCATTACATGAAACAATGAGCAATATGTAATACCTAAACAACTGAATAAAGGATGAGATATCAGATGTTTTGAGATCTAACAGAACCAGGAAACAAGAGTCTCCTGTACTCACCTGATAATTACGGAACCATATCCTGTTATCTGCTATCGTGAAAGAAAAGACGTGGTCTACAAATGGCTGGCTCTTTGGGTGGTACTGAGGGGTAGCGAAAATCTAAACCAACCGGGAATAATTGGGAAAAAAAAATAAATGTAATGTGTACAAAAGCTGAATAAACAGCAACACACTGAACTACAACAAACATCAATGGTAAGCTTACTAATTTTTGCATTTTCTGATCATGTGTTTTCTTAGTTAAACAATTCAACTCAAAGATATTTAATCCCTGAAATCTTATCGACAAAAAACAAATTTACATAAAAATGGCTCAAAATCCACCGTTCTGTTATTTCTACCTTAGTGTTTTGACTGCCTATTCTAAATTTTAATGGTCTCCAAGTTTTATTGATACCAAAAAAATATATTCAGGCTAGTGGTAATGTCCTCAGACATCTGAGGCTTTATTATGAAAGACAGAATATCATGATTGTCATGGTAGTTTCAAAAGCAGGAAGAGAGAACAAAAACATTGAAATCAGCAGCGAAGATAATTATAAAGTCCAAATCATGCCTACCTGGATGAACAACTCCTTCAGCAGCGCATAGTGTGGCTCTTTATCAAACTTCTGATGGAAAAGGCAAAAAAAGTTATATAGTATCCCAAAGGACTTTAACTTTAAAATGTTGAAGATGTTAAGTTTCGCTGGTGTTTGCTTACAGGGTCAAATGACAGCAGGGGCCTTGATCCTTTCAGGCAGTTTCCAGTCATCTTCAGCTCCGCCAGAGTGTGAACTTGAAGGAAAAGGGAAAAAAACAAGGAATGAAACAGCTGTGGTTCCTGTGACTGCACACAAGGAACATGCAGGAGATCACGCACAGGCAGGCACCTCGCATTTTTACAAATCATTTTATTAAAACAAATGAACTGCAAAACCACAATGAAAACTATACGTAACCTCAACTCCAGTATGGATTGTAAAACATAATAGAAATTCTCATTCCCTCAAGTCTACATCAGTGAAGGACACTGAAAAAACTGTCAATTCTTCACAGAGATTCAACAGTTGCCCAAGAAGTGTGGTGTAGTTGCATGTCAAATTACAACATTAGATATTTAACAAACCCTTTACAAATTTAAATTGTTTTTGGTGCTTTAAGGTTTGAATTATCCATTAATCCCCAAAAGAGTCCTTCAGATGCTTTTACTTACTGTTTTGAACCAAAAACTTGGCTGAAGGTCCGTGTGGAACATTGGAAAACCTTAAAAAGTAAAATACAGTCAAACAACCCAGCAATATACATTTACTCAGTAATACTACTAGTCATTTGTCATAAAGAAAATTCACAAAATAACTTTCAATCGAATCAGCTGAGTACTCACCACAAATAGAGGTCCTGTTTCTTTTTGGCTTCAAAAAAGATACACTTGTTGCAATTTTTGATTTCACAAACCTGGAAGACATCAAGTTTAAATGTTTTTCAGTGAAAAACTAAGACTCAAGCACAAATGGAATATGTAACTACACTCATATCGTGCTCTGCTGTGAAGCATCACAACATTCTTTCAGGTAATAAAGTACAGGTTTCAACTGCATCTACAATACTGTCAAAGAAGAAAGACGAGAACACCCAGACATTCTACTACTTTTCTTAAACAAATACTAACAAAATAATTTCATACACTGCATTTCATTAACAACTGAATTGAGTGCTTTTTCCAAGACCTATTTGGTCCGTATTTCATATGGTTCATCTGAATAAGTACTAAGTTACTTTTCATCTTTAATAGTTGGTATCAATTAATTTCATAAGTTATAATTCCTTTCTGCTCGTTTTCAATTGGTGAGAGACAAAAAGTGTCTGGCAAAACAATGTCATCATCACCAGGCTAATAATCTGTGATTACACTTGGATTCAGTCCCAAGTTTTTTGTGCAAAACCCTCATTTATCTTTTCCTATCACGCAGACGTTTGAGAAATTAATGTGACAAAACTACAGACAACCTGAAAGACAAGCATAGACTTACCTCATTTACAACAAACAGTTTATCCTTTCGATCCATTTTTGTATCTGGAATGAAATGTCACATTAAAATATTACTGGAAGAAATTTAAAATGTTGAAGCTGGCTTTTTACCTAAAGATTACTGAGGTATGTACACGATCTTCAACAGCTGACTGAGGAGCCTTATTGTGAAAGAAACTGGCTACACTCACTGGCTGAACGCTTACCTGGCTTTGTGTGAGGCATCAATGTCCTCAGATCATTCATAAGGTGCCTGGTTCTGAAGTCGACACCTCTGGAGGAAAACAAGAGAACCCTTTCTTTGTTCGTCCACTTACCCTAAAGTAAAACAAGGGGAAACTTGTTATCCATGCTGCCTCTGATGCTGAAGCAGAAATTAGACTTTTTATACTTATGATTACGTCTATAGAAAATTGAGAAACATAACTATTTCAAGTAAATGGCTAATAATAAATAATAAACGGTTGAAACATTTATAAAATCACAAAGAGCGTATAGATTTATTACGCAAACAATATTTCTGAATTAACTTAGAGCACCGAACACGCAAACTTGGCTGGAGTAAAATGGAACAGCTATGTTTCTCTTACTTAGATTCACTCTGAACATGGAAATAGACTAAAAACTGCATGTAATTAATCCAAATTAAGTACAAAAATAACCTAAGCATCCTTTGCTAAATACGAATTGATGGGAGCGTTGTTAAAGAGTGCAGCAATTGCAAACAACTGCATACAACTCATAGACAAAGCAATAAAGTCTGTCCTCATGTGCTATACATACCATAGAAACCGGTGCTGGAATGCTAATTTCTTTGTTTGGCTCCTGGTCAGGACCAGATTTCTGTTTTCGTTTGTCATTTTCAGAAAATTTAACTTTTTTTCCAGTTTTCCCGGCTCCGGCATCTACTCCACGTTTTCTCTTGAAGGCACCCATTTTAGAGGAAGTGGACGCGGACGCTTACCAACGATAGAAGGCTTGGACGCTCTAGAAAAAATGTTTACGAGAAGAACGTGCGCCACCATCCGAATCGGAGGACACAGTTCTTACAAACGAAATATTGCACACCTAGTGCTTTTCTCCCTTTTTATGTTCCTGTTCAAATGTTGAACTTAAATGTTTGTAAATGTGTTGAAAAGCAAAGAACAGCTTATTATTACCTAATCATATTTGTAGGTATTTTTATTATTATGAAAAATTATAGAATTTTCAGATTATGAAATGTTTTTGAAGGTTATAATAAATAATATTCCTTACACTTATATAGAGCTTTTCTGGACACTCCACTGAAAGGGCTTTACAGGCAATGGGGACTCCCCTCCATTGCCAATGTGTAGCACTCACCTGGATGATGTGATGGCAGCCACAGTGTACATGGTACGCTCACCACACATAACTATCAGTGGGGAGTATAATGAAATCATTTTATAGATGGAGATTATTAGGCCATGATTGGCAAAGGCCAGAGGCAAATTTGGCCAGGACAATAGGGTTAAGACTGCTACCCTTTTCGAGAAACACTTGACTCCATGGGTTTTTCATGACCATGGAGTCAGGACCTCGGTTTTACATTTCATCTGAAGGACGACGCCTTTTTGACAGTATGGTGTCCCTATCACTATGCTGGGGTATTAGGACCCACACAGACTGCAGGGTGAGCACTCCATACTGGTCCCACTAACACCTCTTCCAGCAGTACCCATCCAGGTGCTGATCAGGCTCACACCTGCTTAGCTTCAGGGGATTGCCAGTTGTGAGTTGCAGGGTGATATGGCTGCTGGCTAAATTAACTCTGTATTCTGTCAACTCTATATTCTCTTTATTATGGTCTATGTAGGTTTCTTTTGGATGTTAGTCTGATGTACAAAAATTGAGTCATTTCCCCTTTGGCTGAAGAGCCAGGTCATATATTTTTTTCTCCCACATTGTTCAGATCCATGTTTCCAGGAGAAAAGGACAAGCCAGGACAGCTGGCAACCCTGATGATACTTGCTGGGTTGTTTAGTGCAATTTAAACCTCACAAAGAGTTTGCAAAAATTAAGACTTTTTTATTTCAGCGTTTTTTTATACAAAAATATTTTAAGTGAAACATAACTTTACAATTTGCTTGAATCACCACTGCCATGAAGAGATTTACAATTGGAAAAATATGACAGCAATATCTTTGAAAACAACACAATGAACAGAATCAGGAAAAGAACTTTGCAGGGCTAAAAGAAAAGGAATAAATAGACTACTATGTTCCAGGTTCCTCAACTTCCTCATCTGGACAACAGTAATACTCCACAAAGCAGATTTGGCCGTCTTCATTTCTCACCAGGTACTGCAGAGAGAGGAACCCACGATTGTCCATCCGCACTGAGACCTTGCAGGACAGGGCCAGCGCTTTGGTGGAAGGTTTTAATAAGGACATTTTATACCTGCAAAGACAACAAAAAGCTCATCAAAAGGGTGAAAAAAATCTACCGTTATCCTATCATGTTGGTAAAACTCCCATGACTACGCCATCAGCTTTCATACTGAGTGTGCTGGATAATGACTGAACACTGGATCTGTTCAGGACAGAGGAAGGCTAGAAGCAGGACTGTGAAAACTGTTATTAGGACTTCAGTTACTCAACTCTGTCAGAGATATTATTCATATTCTATTAGTGTGGTTTTAACAACATCTTTTAGCTCTATGCCTCTCCTTTAAAGTAAAAAAAAACAATTCTGTTATGGTAAACCAATTTAAACTGTTTTCATTTAATGTTCCAATCCATATAATCTTTATGGATTTTACTAACCATAGAACCTCCAAATGAAATGTATACTACAAAGTCACTTGAAACTAGTTATTCTTCAGTGCACTAAAATAACCTTACTGCTTTTCATTTTTCCATAATTATGTAGTCAACAAATGATTGTACTATCAATTATCATTTTTATGTCCTTTATTAAAAGGGTGTAGTACTACCGGCACCCTAGCCTTAATTACTGTATTAATACAATACATATAAAATACTACAATAAATGTAACACTGAGTAGAGAGACACTGCTTTGTCATCTTTCTGATCTGTCTATTTAGATAAAATAGTTGAGATTATTAAACCTAATGCATTTCTCATCACACTTAATTTGCAGAGTTCTCACTTTGTCATGGAAGGCAGTTCGTAGCTCTTGCAATGTGAAAAACAAGTTGTAAATTTCTGAGTATTTAGATTATTTGCATAACAAAAAGACTGAACAATTTAGAAAATTACACTTTAGACTAACAAATAATTTTATCTAAACCTTAAATGTTGGGTAGGCCAAAATAACCAGGATGGAAGGGGTCCGCTGACCTGTTTGTCTGTGTTTGGCTACACTGAAAGAACTCCATCATGTCCGAGTCCTTTGGATAGTCATAGTGGGCACTTCCTGCATTCCCAAACGTAGATAGTCTATGTATTGGTGAAAAACAGAAAATGTTAGGGAATACTTCCACTGTTACTTAAGTTACAAAATGTTTGAGATGGCAAAATAAACTTTGTTTTCAGTGAACAGAATACCATGTGACTAATAACATGCATGCTGTGTTATGGACAACAAGGCTACAGCAGGCATACTTCAAGAATGTTTGACTGATGTTTACAAAATTTTCAGACTTAAGCATGTGATGGTATAGCATAAAGCATACAGTACATGAGCTATGATCCTGACTGAGCTGCTTGTTACCTGACTTGTTACTACCACTTAGCACTACCAGTAGCAGTGTTAAATAATGCATGTGTGGTACTTTTTAATAGTCCAGCTTTCCGAGTCTAATCTTAAAATCATGTGGAATAAGCTTCCCAACCCTTACATCTTTCTAAAGAATTAATATTCACAGCAGAATATTTACAAAAACTAACTGCAGATAAGTTTAGGAATCTTGACATAGTACTTAAGTTTGTTTCAGTTAAATCAACGCTATCAAGGTGTCAGCAATGGACTCTTCCTTGTATTCACACAATCAGAGGGTAATTCTCATATTCCAGAGTAAATGTTATGTCATTATGTTTGAACGCGCAGATAAACAAAATATTATGGAAATCTAATTTTGACATCACGTTCTACTGATTTGTGGATGGAACACACATTAACCATCCCTTAAAAAATTAAACCAATAAGCAATTGTGTGAAAATAAAAAAAACACAAAAAAGTAGTTATTGAAAATTTAATGCAAGGAGTTGCTGTTCTGTGTTGAATCTTTCTTCGAGGTTTGGGTTTTTCCTTGTATATCATCTACATTTCTTTAATGTGTACCTACACAGAACTTCCACTCACCTAAAATAAGGTTTATCTGGGGACATAGTGATTTGCAAGACCTCGCTGGTCATGTCAAGCTCAGAGAAGGCCTCCCGCAGGCTGTCTGACTGCAGAATCACTTTGTTGGTGACGTTGGTGCTACAGAAGTCAAAGTCAATAGGATCCTCCGGCTCCATGGTGTTTATTTTGCACACTGTTACCACTCCCTCTTCTTCAAGGAACAAGGTCAGGGGGTAGCCATAGCCACCATAGCACATCCGCAAAGCAGTTGTAACTCCTTTCATCCAAAAAGCACAAAAGTAAAAAAAAAATCAGTAGTGATAAGTGAAAAAATCTTTATCCATAGAAAACTGGAATATTTTTTCCAAGTAAACAACATACTAACAATAGGTCTCTTCAATAAGAGAAAAAAAAACGATATTTTTATACTAACATTTTTTTTTAAAGAGCAATACCTGGCACAACATTTCCTCCAAAGATGGTGAGGCAGTCTAAGAGGACAGTCAAGTTAACTGTGAATCCAACTGAGTCTTCCTTTATGAAGTAATCCTGGAAGATCTCAGCCTAAAAAAAGAAAAAGTCCTGCTAACTACAGTATGCAGACATATACAGTACTAATGAAATACATATTCATTCTTAATTCCTTTAAACTATGTATATTAATAATCACAAAAGACGAAAAAAATTGCATCAATGAAACAAAAAAATATTTGTCCACATTATGTTTCTAAACTTTTCCCCTGACACCAGGCACTTCATGTAGAAGCATGTTACATCAACATGTATTTTTATAAATTCACGATGGCACTAACCTGTATAAAAGCATTGGCTTGCAAGCACTTGGAGTCTTCCACGGTAACTTTTAGCCCATTAGGTGTGGCTGTGAAGAGAGAGTGGTCTTTGAAACTGATGGCTTTTAAGATGTTGGAAAGGCTTCTGACGTTATCCAAGCTGGCCACCAACACATACTGGTCATCTCTTACTTCAGGCTGAACAGTCAGGGGCATGCTATCTTACTGCAATGAACCAGAACCAAGTATCTCAGTGAATCTGGAAAAAAACCCAAAATACATTTTAAATAACATCATTTTGACTATAAAATAATAATAAGCCTCGTATATACGATATTGTTTATGTACGATTCAAAATCTTTCTTTGTGTTTACGACTACCCTAAAAACAAAAAATCAAGCTCTTTAAAAAAAGTCTTACTTTGCTTACGTCTCCAGATTTTATTTTATTTTATTTTGACAGCCGGAAATAGTCAAATATATTGTGTGAATGTGTCGAATCCACGTAATTTCTGAATTTTGTTATATGTGTGAATGTGTCATTTCGGTGAACAACTTCCGGGAGCAAAAAAGGCGTGTTTATCGGCCGTGTTCGGTTGTACCTCCGGGTCAAATGCCGGCTTAAGGTCACATTTCCAAAATGTATTGGAAGTACATTTTGTGTTTGTTTTGTATTTAAAACATAATTACATTTTTAATTTAAGGTAGCTTCTGAAGTATAGAATGGTCGAAGGGGAAAGAGTTAAACACGGTTCCGATTTCGGATATAATTATTCTACTAAAAGAGTCATTTAAAACTGGGAGGTACGGAGGTATCCTTTTATAATCAGAAAACTGCTCTTTCCTATTAAGAATCGAGGCTATACCGAGCCTATCCAGGAAGCACAGGACGCCAACTAGAACTGTATTCTGCATTCTGGACGAGCACCCAGTTTATTACAGAGCTCACAAACACAGAGGACAATTTCGAAAAGCCCAAATTCTGATTTTGATGCCTTCCGATTTACTAATAAACACTACCGACTTTCTAAGAACCAAAGTACAATATACATTTGGTTGTTTCGGCTGGCTGTTTCTATTAAAATTGTATTCGACCTTTGGCTTTGTGCGATCCCTGCACTTGCAGTTATTGGCCATATTGCCTGGAAACTCCTTGGTTAAACCAAAATTGTGATGAATGCAGCATCTTCAGTATTACACTAGCGGCCAATGAGCTGATCTACAAATGAGACCCTACGTGGAGATCTGATATTGACTGGAAACTGCCTTAAATCTCCCATTTGTGTCAGTTATGAAATATGTACTTGCTAAAATTACAGGAACTTGTAAAATAGCTTTGTCATTTTCACAACATAAAATTAGACAAAGGGTTTAGTTATACATTTGTTGCAAAATGAAAAAGATGGAGTGCAAATGGAAATCCATATGGTCGGGGTTTAAATACCCGAAGTGCATTTGGTGAAAGCGTGGCCAAAAAATATAATATCAGTTTTGCCGCTAGATGGGAGCCTTTTCCTTTTTTATTAACGTCATCTGAAAATGCTGTTTAAAGATACAGTACTTAAAAAATGTAAGTGAAAATTACTGCATTATAATGATAATAAGAATAATTGAATAGGGTATGTAGCGACGTTACGAGCTTTTAGCCTGATCTTGTTACCTGTCAGAAGCTAATCAAGGCTGGGGTGGGAGACTTCCATGGAAGAGATTACTGTTGCAAATGGACTTAGTGGACCTGTAGGCCTTTTAACTAGACCACAGTGTACACATTCCTCAGTATGGTTAATGGGGACACTGGGCAATTAGAGGTGCTATGATTCAGATAAGAGTTTTTGCAAACCTGTGGTAGTTTTCTTTAATTTTTTTCTTAAATTCCATTCTGCCCTTCCTAAAGTCCCCCCAGAATTCCAATGGTAAATCAAATCTGACTTCCTCTTCAATCTACAGTATTGTGTAATGTCTCCTTTACACCTTGAAATCTTTTAGTGAAAAGTGCTATATAAATTTAAGGAATTATGGTAATGGTGATGATGCAAGATTGAGGAAAGGAATAAAATCTTTCTCTTTAAAACTGTTGATTTTCAGGTGGCCCATTCTTTAGACTACTGGCAGACGTTTATTATTTTTAAAGATCTTCTGATAGAGTTGAATGTGGTACACTTTCTAAATGGAGTATTCCAGCAACACAAATATTCTGGAAAGATTGCCAGTGCTGAATGAGAGAAAAAAAGAACCGAAGCATATTTATCGCTTACTGTACTTAGGTTTAGTCCAATGTTTCAAAGACATGCTTTAGAGATACACAATTTGTATTGTTCAAAATACATTTATAATAACATAATATGCAACACACAAGTATTACAATTACACAAACCAAAAAGGAGGCGTAGGCTATACTTTCAAGAAAAGAAACCGCTTTGGTTTCAGAGTACGTATTTATATGACAAACATTTTTTCTTTATTAAGAAAAAAGTATAAGTCTGGGCAGTCAAGATAGAATTCACAAACTGCACTGGCTTGCTGTTAGAAGGTATCACTATACACTTGAGCATTGACCTCTCCTCACAGTGAGGATTATGAACTATTTTCAGACATGATCATTCCTACAATGTGCATGAAAAGGAAATTTAATATCTGTTGACAAACATTTACCGGGCTGTAAACCAATGTAATAAGATCTACCCATAGATGATAACAGTAATCAGTCCTTTTTAATAATTCACTGTTTCAGGGACATGTTTTGTAAAATGGAAGTTGGAAATATGTTTTTTTTTCTATAAGAAATTGTATTTATTGTTATTTTGAAAATGAAGTGTATAATAAATTCATTTGTCAATTTAAGTGTACATGTCCTTATTTCACAGTGCACATACTTTTATGAGATCTGAAGTATCTAAGGGCTCTATGCAATGCAGACAACAGTTGCTGGTCGTGTGCTCATGTCTGAAATACCAAGGATTACTGTGGCGTAACCCCATCTCAGCACAAGTATTTATATTAAACCATACTTGAGGCTGCTGTCAAACTGCATCGAAAAGCATGAGGTATTTCCTTCATTCTGTAATAAAACACATGTTTCTGCCTTTGTGGTCTTGATTTGTGATCCTAGAGCTTAGTAGGGTTCATTTTTGAAAAGAGCAGAGAAAAATGTAAAATATTTGCAGATGTCGTATTTTTGAAATGCTGTATATATAAATGTATACTGTATCTCTTGTGTAAGTATTACTTTGATCTTAACAAAACAAAATTGTTATGTTATAATGTAATTGTTATGGAATTTATTTTATGACAATGCATACAGGTCCATATATCTAACTGGAATAATATTCAGCTGTGTCAGTCCACTACAGAAAGTAAAGTTTGTCACTTGAGATGAACTCCAGATATGAGCAAAAAACTTTGAAATTCATCCAAATACAGACTGAGCGCTAAATTAATGAAGTTTTTATCGTGGCTACTGGTGTAATACTATAATTTTTTTTCAGTATTAAATTACTAGTGTTAACAGAAATATGCAACCTATGAGTACTGTAACCACCTAATTTTATTCTGTCCCTTAGAATAACAGTTCCCATATTTTCTATGACAAAAGACATGCATATGATTACAATTACACACATCATAAACACTGACGGACTCCAAGGCCTTATTCTGCACACTGGTTTGTGTACAGAAATAGATCCGATATGGTGATCAAAATGTTTTCTCAGACTTTTATTTTCAAGTTTTCTTGTTGCATCACCCACAATTAAAGCATAACTGAAAGCAATTACTTGTACTGCTCAAAGACCCAGTTGTTTTCTGCCGAGTTGAAGTAGATGCCTATGAAACCTTTTTTTTTTGTAGCTTAACAAGGGCTGGTTTGTATTTGGCCCTATTTCTGCACCACCACTCCCTGTCAAGATAAAAATATTTTTAACCTTTACCCTCCCTCAGTTGGATTGGCACCCCTCTTTGGTGATTGAAGTGTTGTATTACAGTACAAACCTTCATGCAACCCCACTGATACAGCAGGTAAGGAACAATACTGTTATTCATTTCTATCCTGGAAGTCTTTAGCATTAATTTAACAAATGATATAATTATATCTTGCAGGTAAATCTTTTATCTGGGGCTGGATGACTGTCACTCATTCAAATTCTGTTGCCACTGTGTCAAATGTAGGCAGATAAGACACTGCATATATCTGGCACATCAGACTGAAAATATCATGTCAAGGTTTATTTGACTTGTGACATCATGCTGTTACGCAGGATTCATTATTAAAATCAAAATCAGCACTACCGCCTGCAAGCGACTTCTTTTCTGACACGTCTTTAACACGCCTGTATTCTCGCGTCAACATGAAACGCTTTAGGAGTATAAAAAAATATCGTGTAGTGTTTATTTGATCGCACGTCACGTTAGGTATTAACCAATCTAAACTATGTTGGATATTAATATACCTTAAGAGTAGTGGGAAGAGAATAAATTTAGCGGTACAATGGCGCTCAAGTGACGTCAGTAAGGAGCCCTTTAAAAGTTTGAAAGGGCACAGGAAGATAAACATTACAGGTATATTCAAAAGTGAAAACATCACAGGAAAAACTGTGTTTTATTATATTACAGTTAATTCCACCTTATATATCGTTATGCTTGTAATGTTATATTAAGCGAAAAAAGCTTCATGAATTTTTTTGTAAATATTTTTTAATGAAATATATTTTAAAAACAATATTATCTAACGTTACCCTGAAAGTAGTAGTTTCACAGTAAATACAATTTGATCATGAAATTGTAGTGGTTAAAAAAAGTTATATTACTTAAAATCAAAACATTTTGAAAATGTTTATATTATTTACTTTAACTTGTTAGGAGAATTGTTTTGCGTGTTCAGCTGTGCGTGGTCTTTGCTATCTTATCAAAAGGCTTTAAATTGACTAATTCACTAAGATAAAAAAAGATTTCTCGTGTTTGTATTCCTTGTATAACGTGTACATATCTCTAAAATCCACATACAGTATATACGTCATAAAAATGTCCCATTGGGTAAAGAAAAACTCGCTCAATATTTACATATAAGTAAAATAAAATCATTACAAAATTCCTATGCGCAAAAATTGGTATTTTATAGATATTTCACGCACATGTGAAACATACTCCAAACAATACTTTTAATGACCCTTTCAGGCCAAAGAATAGCCATTATACATTAAAATGCTTTTAAAAAACTTTTATGTGTATATATTTAAACACTTTAAAAAACAAAGACGAAAAAGTGTAGTCAATATATGGCTGTATTTTAAATCCTCTAAAATTGACGCTTCTCATTAATTGTGGGGTGTGAAACGTTGTGTGTGCTTGGGAAGCGTGCGAAGGTTATCCGTTTGCTTTTTAAAACATCCTCAAACTGTGTACCTTATTTGCGCTGTGTTCTCTCTTCTGCCCCTCCTCCCTGCCTTTGGACTGATATGCCAGGGAAAAGATTTTTTTTTTGAATCCGAGCTACAGCCGCCATGCTGCGAGAGACAAACTTCTAACACTTTTTTTGCACCATCCCCTAAAAACTAAACGGAGAAGATCGAGCCTTTTCCGAACCCGGTGAGTTTTAGATGTTTGTTGCACGTTTTGTTTTAACGACGGGTACAGTTTTGTTTTAATGTTCTTGTGCAGTGTTTTGGTTTTCTTTTAAACGTTTATCTGTTCATGTAGCAATATACCCCCTTGAGTTTTTGGCTAGCGGTCATGTTTTGCCTGTAGTTGAGCATTTGTAGATGTTCCTGTTGTTGCACTTGTTGGAAAGGAAGGCGGAACAGGTTAGTTTTGAACCAACAAGTGTCACCTGTTATATTAAATACGAACAATCTAGTATTTTTGCGCCATTGTTAAAACAATGTTAAACGTTCATGAAAATAAATGGTTCAGTTGAGAAAAAATATAACATAAGGAAAAAATCCATTTGATATTTTTCTGTATTCTTTAAAATAACTCCATCTGCATTTCGTATGATTATAGGGGGTTTTAAATTACGTTTACACTGGTACTGAATGTACAACACTTGAACCAGCGCAAATGAACATTTCTAATCTACCGCTGTTTAATTTAATTTTAATTGAATATGCAATGCACAAATGTATATGCATCTTGTCCAAAATTCATTTAGGAGCCACTGTCCAGAGCAGAAGTGAATCGAAAGGGCTCATTTATTTAAAAAAACCAAAAGTGCTCTGTGTGTTGAAATTGGAGAGAAACGTCGCCGTGCAATTCTAGATCGGTACAGTTTGTCTATTCGGGATAAAAGAAGAGCAATGTTGAACTGTGACCTTTCAAAGATGCGTTGAATACATTTTAGATCAAGGATTGTTTGGTTTGGCAATGCAATGCAGCATTTAAAGACTTTGCTACATTGATTTACTACCCCTATATGAAAATTGGTTGACCTCCATACTGAAATGGTAATACATTATGGATGTGCACAGAGCAAAACTCACAAAGTGTTGATCTATTGTAATGGATAGTGATTTAGGTTGGGAAAGATCTGTTGTTAGGAAGCAGAAACCCTATCTTTTCTATCTTTTCAACGAATACAGATGACATTTAAAATTCCATCACCATTGCATTGACCCATTTGAAAAATGGGTCCTAACCAAATTTAAGGACCCGAAACTGAAAATCTTATAACAGAGTGGAGGAAAAAGTAGATTAAAGAATAGCAATTACATATTTTATAATAGTTTTGAACGAAGCATCTGCATGCTTTAATCTTCAATCAGCTCTATCTCATCCTCTACAGATATTGGAGAGATCCGGATTCTGTAGTTCACCTTGGCTGTATTAAAATGTGCTTAAGGTTTTGTAAATTTATTTTCAACCTATTTGGGGATTGCCATAAATCAGCAGATTGGGCTAATCAAGGTTCCACCGGTTTAGCATTTTTATTCATGTTTACAGATTAATTCATGTGCCTATATGCCATATGTATAGACATGCCATATGTGTTCCCAAAAGAACAGCTATTGTGCATTGCGTTTTCTTCATCAAGACTCAGTTTAAAGTAATATAGATAATGCATTGATCCATGCAGAGTGTTGGGGGAGCAGACTTTCATTTCATATGTTAATAGTAGCAAGTTTTAACTATCCGTGACATAATCGAGTTGTTTTTTGAACATTTTCATTTCAAATCGAAAATATACTACATATTTGGTAAGACAGAGGAAATATAAGCCATATGTCTGGAATACAAGGTTTTTAGATGTAATGTGCACTTTGAGCACAACAGTCATTCCTTTGCTAGGACCTAACTTTTTCACAAATTAATTCTGAGAGCACATTTTTTAGTATGTAAATCCTCAACCAGCTTGAACAATGAGATTTGCATTGATTGCCCATTAATAGTTGGGGCTCTTCGGTACTGTTGTAATCACCACTTGGTGTGTTTTATTGAGGGACTTAAGTATCACTGAAAGTGACATATTTGATGAAACAATGCTAATAGGGAATAAAAGGAGAATTCAGTTGTTTTTACAACTCTACCAAATGAAGTAACATGAGGAAACTGTCACTTGGTCAACACAACACATAGTAAATCTTTTTGCCTCCACTTTGTTCCAATATTTATTTTTCCCTTCAGCATTTCCTTTAATCACTGTGTTTCCGTATTTCTTTTTCCCTTAAACCTAAAAAAAAGCCTTTTGAATTTCACATTGTGGTAGAATGGGAAGCTTTTTGTTGAACACCTCCATTTAGATGTAACGAGAAATTTAGTGATAAAACTGCATTTCATGCAATTGGTAGGTTTGACTTGTAATGGTGTACTTTGTGACTCAGCTTATTAAAGTAAACAATGAAATTAGTTATTATGGAGGACTTTTGTCTGTATTGACGTAGAATACGGAAAGTGAGCTGCACATTTTTTGTAGTCCAAATTGTGAGTTTCACAAACTGAACTTGAACTGAAATAGATAATCAGATTTGAATATTCAGTAGTATCCAGCTATTTCACAGCAAGCGCCAGGACGGTCTTAACTACAGCTTTGCATAAAGCGGTCTTTACGAATACTGGAAGGCATCCAGTCAGAATGTTCCCTTGAGATTGGTTGCAATTCAGCATTTACCCGCAGGGTATAAAGTTAGAACAAACATATATGGTTCATCAACATCAGTGTTTTTTTGTATTTTGGATGTACATCCAAACCAAGGCTTTTTTTTTAGAAAGAAAAGAAAGAAACTGGAATAGCAATTTTCTTTTTTATGCTTCCTCCAACTCGGAATTGCTATTTGTTAATCAGGGCTGTAACGTGTGTAGCTCTGCAGGACAGAGAAATGCAACAGGCACATTTACTCTGATCTCAAACTGAACAGAAGGCTTACAGCATCAACAGTGGGGTCAATCATGGGGAAGATGAAATGTCCTGAGCAAACTTGCATTACACTTGTGATATTTCAGTTTTGAGGACTGAATGAACACAGATGCACCGCATGTCCTGCCAGTTCAAATGGTACTTCACCAGTTCTTCACTTCTGCAAGGGACTTGCTGTTCTGCCAACCTAAGATTGATCAGCTGTTTTAGGTTATGGGGTCCATCTTTTATTCTTCACAAGTGTGTTTACTGGTAGAGCCAATCAGGATCTCCAAAAAGCATTTTCACACTAGTTCTCCACTGTTAATATACCTTCCAATGTCAATTCTAAACTACGCAAGACTTGATGAAAAGGGAGATTTGTAAGTCCTACAGTAACAATCTGATGTGTATCCAGTTTCCATATAATAATCCATGAAGGGTTTAAAATAATTTCACGGCTGTGGTTCATCAGTTTCAGTAGCTGTTTTTGGAATTTGATGAGTAAGTGGAATGCTAGAGTGCTAAAATCATTTTTAACAAACAAGAGGTGGAAAATGTGAACCATTTTTTCTTAATAATTGTCAATTTCTCAAAGGAGAAATGAAACAAGAATGGATCATTGCAATATCACATCGCCATGAGGTGTAAAAATAATGGAGTTGTCTCTTTCATGTGCAGTAGTGTTTACTCCAGTAGGTCTATAGAGAAAAAGATTAGAAAGAAGGAATGGTTTCACATGAAATGAAGCAATTTAGCCCATCATGAATTGCCACAGGTAAATGGCATTAGATATGGCAGGGAGTACATTCACCGTTCAAAAGGTTTTAAGTACAGTTATCCTGGGGTTCTAACTCTGTTCTAAGAAACTTGTATTATAGCAGGTTTTAATACATCCATAATTTTTTTAACCTCTCCATTCAGTTCATTGGTCGCGAGGGAGCTGGAACCTAACACAGCTAGCTACAGATACAAGGCAGGATACACTGTGGACAGGATGCCAGTACATTGTAGGTTTTAATACATAAAATATACGATCGTAAGAGTGGGTGCAAACGAGAGGAAACAATAAGGCTTGAATGTCTGGAATCCTTTAAGTTGCACTGGTATTTTATAAGTAAACCCAATTTAACAGGTTATTTGATGGAAATATTGAAAATGGCAATTGGAATGACAACTAGCCCTAAAAGACTGAATTTCCTCTTGCCTGATTTAGATATAGAGATGCTGACCTACAAGGGATAATGGGTGTGGACTGCAGAAAGACCTGTTTTGCAAATAGTGGTTCTTAGCAGTGTGGTGTGTTGGCTGACGTGTAAAGGCTTTTCTCATGCTGTTGCAAAGGTAACGTTGGCTAGTAGAAATATTGAAGTCTGATTTGGAGTTTATTTATTGTGAGTTTGTTTGGCCTCACAATCCCCTTAGTCTTGTGATTCAAAATGTTGGAACTGAAAGACATTCTTTGCTCTCCTGGAATTTTGCGTTTCTCTTTCTTATTAGTACAGGCCTTGTTTACACATGTTAGATGACTCTTGTTCATTTTTCTGAGACATCTACTGTGTTTCTGATGCGCTGCACAATTACATGTCTGTGAATCAACAGAAATTCCCCCTCTGGTCTTTGAATGAGATGTTTATGTTGAATAATTAGGTAATAGTTCATCATTTGGTCATATGAGCTGGAATGCCACCTGAGTATTGCTAATGTAATTTGTTGCTTTCACTTTGTTGCTGAATTTATAACTGGCAGTTACAGGTCAGCAATGCCTACTGAAAAAGTTTTTAGTCATGAAGTCTTCCCAGCCTGAAAATGTGTGAGATGAAGTTGTTTTTTATTTTAAAAAATGCAGTTTGGGTTAAAAATATGCATAGTTTTTCTTAATTTAATGAATACCTTGATAGTACTTTTTGTTCTTAATAGAAAAATCTATTTCTTATACAGTATGAATCAGGCAAGTACAGTACTTTAAAACCCACAGTAAAATGTAATACATACAGTAAATGGTCAGTTTAATTTCAAATTCATATGAAAATCCGTAGACTATGTATGTGTAATTGTTTGCCTTATCTGAGTGTGTCATGTTGGTTGCTGTTTATATTAATGTTGGCAAGGTAAGTTGGTAACCTCCTCCAAACAGGCAAGTATTGTGTTACTGTTAGAATGCTCTGTGAAAGGGACAAGTAGACATGGAGACGAGATCTGATTTGTAACTTGACAACAGCAGCTTGTCCCTAGGAGTTATTGATTGAGTCTGCTCAAC